GTGGGCCCCTCAGCCTGGTCTGAAGCGTGCGGTGCTTTTCTTCGAGTCTTCAATCCTGTGTCCTGGCCTGCAGAGGCAAGAGCATCCCTCCCTCGGGGGATGAGGCCCGGTGCGTGCTAGGGAGAGGATAGGCGGAGGCTGAGCAAGAAGGGCCTGGAGTTGAGTGTTCTGGGGTTGGGAGAACCAGAAGGAGAGAGGTCCGGCAGAGTGCCGGAGTAGGGTGGCACTCAGGTTTGGGGAAGAGGAGACAACAAACCCCTAACTGGGCTTGATGGAATGGGAAAGAACCCCGGCAGGACCAAGAGGCCTTGGCTGTGGTTGTGACTCTGTCCCTCAGACTCTTGGTTCAATTTTGCTGTTAGTCTCTTGGAGAACCCCACATCACTGTTTGCTTCAAACCCAGGCCCATATTGTTGTCTCCAACTTGGTCTCCCTGTGTCCCTGTCTCCAGCTGGAGTCTGAAACCGGGAGTTTCCTGAAACCTACCTGTGTAGCAGGTTTTCTGACCCAACCAGCCTAGCCCAAGGCTCTACCATACTGCTTCTCAAAGATCCCTAAAGTCTATCTATCTCTCTCCACCTCCTGCCCCTCCCGGAGCTCGACCACTGGTCACATTTCCCCTTGACTTGTACAGCAGTCCTGGCCTCTCAGCCCCTCTGGTCTCACTTCCCACTGACTGGCCTTTTTGGGCCAGCCAGGGCAGTTTTTCAGAAACATCAGACAGCTGCTTCCTAGGATCTTCCACTGGTCCAACTTCCTTGCAAATAGATCCCCTCAAGCTCTCCATAGCTCGCTTCTCACCACCAGCCTGCCTGCCCACTTGTCTTTTGGGGCTCAATGCTTCTGCCGCTAGGAAACCTTCCCATGTCCCCCTGGATGCCCAGACTGGTCAGCAGCCCTTCTTTGATCTCAAGAGTTCCTACGGAAAGATTCAGGTGAAGAAGTGCTGAGACTGGGAAGCCCCAGGATCAACAATTGGAGGATTGGCTCTATAGGGCAGGAATTCAGGAAAGGGCTGGGTCAAAGACATTTTTTTTTTCTCAGTGTTGGAGATTGAATCCAGGGCTCCCTACATATTAAGCAAACGTGCTACTGCTGAGCTATACCTCAATATCAAGGAGGCATTTTTGAGAGTCTTCAAGGGCCCACAGTCATAAGCAGAGCCACGGGAAGGATGAAGCAAATCAACTAAAACAAGGCCAAGAGCAAAACATGTGTCTCAAGGAGGATCAAAATTCTGACCTGTGCAACAAAAATCTCACACGTAAGCCTTAAGAAACAGTTCCCGGTGGATATGATGGCTCTATTCCACAAAGACCTCCCAGATGTGACCCCCTCCACGCCCTGCACCAGCTAGCTCTGGAGATGACCTTTGCCCTCGTGGCGCCAAATGGGGGCCAGAGCTCCAGTTATCACATACACATCCCAGGTTTTGGAATGGAGAAGAACAACAAAGGATCAGCACGAACTATTTTTAAAATTTTTTATTCTATGTGGATAAATGTTTTGCCTGCATGCATGCATGTATGTATGCATGTATGTATGTGTGCCTGTGTGTGCCTGTGTACTGGGAACTGAACCTGGGTCATCTGCAAGAAGAGATCTTAACCACTGAGCCATCTCTTCAGCTCAATTCTTCCTTAAAGGAAGTGCCCAGAAAGTGCCACAGAACGTTCCCCCATACATTCCACTACTTTAGATTTTGTCACATGACCAGACCCAGTTGCAAGAGATAGAACATGGAAATGCAACCTCCATTATAGGCAGCCACGTGCCCAACCAAGGAGCAAGTGCTGTACCACCAAGACTATGTATGTATATGTGTGTGTATGTCCAGAAACAATGAGTGCTTGTGGGTACCAGGCACTGTCCTGGGCACTTCACTTATATCTCTCTTACCCCAACCCTCGCAGAGGTTGCAGTACCCCTAAGACACAGGGGACTCTTGGCGAGAGGCCACTTGCAAAGGACACAGGGTGAGCTGTGTGAGAACTGCAAGAGGCCTTCTTCCACGACACTCCAGGCCTGCCAGGAAGTCAGGAGAGGCTACACTGGGCACAAAGATAAGGAATCTTTGAATAATTGTTAAACGCAAGCCTAAGGGTTCCTGTGGAGTTTGCATCAAGGACTCTGCTAGTGACCTTAGCAAAGGCATCTGCAGGTGCTGGGGGTGGAGGCTAGTTGCAGACAAGGATGAACTGGTCTTTCTGGAAGGGTGGCAGTGAAGAGGGAGTAGGCTGATCTACAACAGAACCTGAGCCAGAGGGAGGCAAGAGACAAAAACACGCAGGGCACAGGGTGAGAGAGAGGACGCCACCCTGGCTGGAGGTATCTGGGCTGGTTGGATCACTTTTTTTTCTGCCACTCAGGAGGAAAGAGACAGGAGGCACAGGCTTTGGGGGCTGGGAAAGAGGAGGATGGAAGGTTCTTGTCTGGGGAAGGTGGCAGAAAGTCAAGGTCTGAGAGAACAACTGGCCCGTGCTGTCCACTCTGCTAGCCACTGGCTTCATACAGCTATTTTGGTAAATCAAAAGTAAGAACTAGATATGGTGCCAAATCCCTGTGATTCCAGCATTTGAGAAGCCGAGACAAGAGGATCGTGAATTTCAGACCAGCTTGAGCCACATAACAAGGCACTGTTTAAAAAACATTAAAAAGGCCGGGTGGTAGTGGTGCACTCAAGAGGCAGAGGCACTCGGGAGGCAGAAGCAGGTGGATCTCTGTGAGTTCAAGGTCAGCCTGATCTACAAGAGCTGATTCCAGGACAGGCTCCAAAGCTACAGGGAAACCCTGTCTCGAAAAACAAAACAACAACAACAAAAACATTAAAAAGTGAAACGACTCCAAGTGTTTATTGGCTCCCTTGGCAAGTGGCCACCACATTGAACAGTACAGCATCAGAAATTGTGCTGTTCAGAAATTGTGCCATTCAAACTGGTTTAGACAGAGCAAGGTACTCAGATCCCCTGGCTGGCTGTGAGCCCAAGCTAGAAGGCATGTCCACATGAATCCTTCTCCCCTCTCCAGCCACAAGCCTCCCTTCCTTTGTGGAAGTACCCCCAAATCTCACCCCTGGGACAACAAGTCCTTCTCTCAACCTTATTTGCTTCTGGGGTGTTCAACTGCCCCACAGCCAGGAGAAGAGCTTCCTCAGGATTTGGAAGAGTGCTGGTGCCCTGTCCTGTGCAGAGATGGGGCACAGGGACTGCTGTGAGCTCACTGACCCAGCTGGGCTCAGGCACCCCTCACCAGCCCGCCCACAGGAATCTCAGAAGCTCAGCTCAACTGTGTGTCTCACAGGTGAGCACTCTGAACTTCAGAAGGGTTTGAAAGGAAAGCAAAGAAGACAGAAATTTGTCCTCATTTCTTTTTTTATTGTGCCCCACCCCTTGCCTCCTCAGCCTTCATGTTCCAACCAAGCCGGGCAAGCTGTGGAAGCTGGGTCTGGGCCACAGGCAAGGAGCCAGGATTCACCAGGCTTACACCTCCACCCGAGGTAGCTGAGTAAGGTTCTGTGACTGGCAGGGCTGTCCTGGCCTGACTCCCCCAGTAAGGAGCATTGTCCCATGGGGGTGACACTGTATGGAGACCATGTGTCCCTGCCTGGGGGTGTAGGTGTGTTCAGATGGCTGCACTTGCAGTACCCAAGCTGTTCCAATCCACAGCGGGGGCGGAGAGTTGTATGTACAGGGGGCGTGTGCACCTGGGGGCTTGTGAATTCCTGTGTGGCACACTACACACTTGCTGGGGGTGTTTGAGACCCTGCTCAGTGCCTACACCTGCCAATTGGTGCTGACCCAAGCCTGGATAGGAGCTTAAGAGCCAGAAAGTTCCGGGAGAGCCATTCTTAAGCCTCAGGCACAAAGTGGCCTGTGTCTCTGTTTTTAGGTGGGATGTGTGCCCGGCACCTGCACTGTTGCTGAGCCTCCTGGGGAATTCCTTTGGAACATCTTTCAATGGAAAGCATCCTCTGCTGTCCAGTTTGATAGTCGTGGGCCACATGTGTCCACTTAGCTAGGTCAACTGAGGCATATTTTTTATTATATTTTAATTAATTTAAGTTCAAATTGTCACATCTGGCTAGTGGCTTCCATGTGGAAGAGCACAAATCTAGGCAGGTGAAGCCCTGGGATGGACAGTGAAAGCCTGAGACGTTGTCACAAAGCTAGGGTATAGGTGTATGAGGAGCCCAACCATATAGACCCAGAGTGGCTGAAACTGGAGGGGGCATCCCTCAGGAGGGGACGTGTGGAATTGGACCCAGAGCTCTGAATTGCAGTGTCTTGCCCGTCACCACTCTGAACTGGGGTGGGGGTGGGGGGCAACTTGGTGTCTGTCCGGTAGGAAAGCCCCTGGGAATGGTCTCTGCCCTGGCTCGAAGCCACCAGCCCTAGCCGGAAGTCACACACTGAGTCAAGTCCAGAACCCAAGGCTGAGGTCAGGAGGTCCTCATGTTCTCCTGCAGGCCCAGAGTGGAGCTGGTGGCCGCGGGGTCACGTTCACCCTGTGTATGCAATGTGGGAATGCAAGTCAGGCCCCAGAAGTCCCGGCCTGCAGCGCTGAGTCCTGCAGGACAGAGCCTGCCAATACAGGCACACAAGCTTGAGGTTTTTGAAGAGCCCTGCTCAAGAAGTTCAGAAGTTCTCTTACCTCCCCAGGCCCCATGTCCTCGGCGTACTTGAACTTCTTCTGTTTGTAGTAGTGCCTCTTGGGCAGGATGTGGAGCAATAAGAGGTCACAAAGAACTGTGGCCTGAGGACAGGGAGAGCAGGGGTGGAGAATAGGAATCTAGGGCAGATATTGACCATCCATATCGACTTTCCATGTCCCACAGTGGTCCCTGCTGACTGTGGTCCTGGCTGAATCAAGCCACTCCAGACCCCAGTTTCCTGAAGACAGGATAATGTGCTCCAAATCCCTCCTGGGACCAAGTCAGCTCCACCCCACCTCTCTCTTACCTCTGAGACTCAGTTTCCCCAAGTACACGGTAGGTCTAGGGTGGTGGGGAAAGCAGTTGCTGCCTCAATAATGATAGGAACCTATGGTCTTATTTTGGGGTTCTGCTACTGAATGTAGAAGAAGAGAGGCTGAAACCCAGCAGAGCAAACATGTGTGCCCAGCACTTACCACTCCAAAGATGCCAATCCCAGAGCCAATGGTAGTCATAGTAGGGATGATGTCAAACTTCCCGGCCTGGTGGCAGGGCCCAGAGGAGAACCGGGTCAACAGAAAGGACCCAGCTAGAAAAGGTCAAGCCCTGCCCCCTCAACTCTAAAGTCTCCCCACTGCCTATGGTCCAGGGCTCTGGTTCTCCCAAGAGCCAGCTCCTGGTCAGTAAACCTGGGCTTTGTCCTTGGCTTTGCTTCCCCGGACCCAAGGAGATGGCAGGGGAGCCATGTCAGTGGCTCGAAGCTGGGACAGAGCCATCCCCCATGTCCATGGTCATTGGAAGCAGATCTCTGAACACAACCATCCCATTCCACTTTGTATCTGTAACAACAGACATCCAAAGCAGGAGGGTGCCTTGGTGGCCATCCCGTCATATGGAACACCTACCTTACCATTCACGAGGATGTCAAAACGAATCCCAAACACCTTGAAGAGGTGACGACGGTTTGTCCCATTCTGCACAAAATGCCGGGCAAACCTGGGGCAGGGGGTGGTAGGAGACGGTGGTAAAGCCACCTTGAGTGCCAGAGTCTTAGGAAGAGGCCCTCCAGCATTGCCCAAGGAGAATGACTAAGTCTTCTTCCACTCAGCCCTTTCCTGACTCCCACCAGGCAGACCTCCAAGGACCCAAGATCTAGGGCTGGGGAACTCAAGCCTTTAAGGTCTTGTTGCTGGCTTCCTATTTGACAAGTCACACAGGATGGATGCCATCCAGGGTCCTCTGGTCCCCTCTGGCAACATTTGTCGACCTGTGGCATTCCAGAAATAGGCAGGAGACTGTCAGGTACCTGAAGTTGAAGCCTGGAGACAGATTTTTCTCCCCATACAGTCCATGGAATTGGTAGATGGGTTTGCAGTGCCGCACGTGCCAATCCAGGTCACACTCCCAGTCGATGGTGATGCCAACCACCCCGCCCTGCCAAGGACACAAGCACACAAGATCTGGGCTCAGGAGTATAAAACGCCTGTCTAGACGGGCAAGATGGCTTCATGAGTTTAAAAGAGCAAACAAGCAAACAACAACAACAACAACAAAAAAACTGTCTCACAGTTGGTGCCTGCCCTCTCTTTAAAAAAAATTGTTTGACATTATTTATTAATTTTGTGTGTAGATAAATTCACCCTTGTGTACAGTATGACTTTGGAGGGCAGAGGACAACTTGCAAGGGTAGACTTTCTCCTTCTGCCATATAGGACCAGGGAGTAAACTCCAATCATTAGGCTACCAAGTGCTTTTAACTGCTGAGCCTTCTCTCCAGTTCCTTAGTTTCTTGAGATTGGGCATCACTGTGTAGCCTAGGCTGACCTTGAACTCCTTATCCTCCTGCTTCTGCCTCCTGCGTGCTGGGATCACAGGTGTGTCCTAGCACACCTGGCTTGTCATATGCGTATTCTGTGTAATTACTTATTGACCTCTCTCCTCTAAGACTGACTGTCAGGTCCAAGGGGACAGAGCCATCTGGCTCTCATCACTGTTTCTCAGTTCCTGGCTCAAGTCACAGTGGTGTGGGAGACAAGCAAGCAGCCTTTGAACTAGACATCTGGGGAGAAAACACTTCAGAAAATGAAGTGAGGCAGGAAACAGGACAGGGGGGTGACTCAGGCCAAGAGCGGAGAGGTGATCAGAGAAGTGGGCAGGGAGCTAGCTGAGCAGATCAGCATGGAGGCAGGGGCAGAGATCCCCACACTCAGTGGGTAAGGGCAGGTGTGAATTCTAGCAACAGGGTGGACTGTAAATCCTGATGACCCTATAGGGTCAGACAGAGGCGTGAACACCCACAGTTAACCACTGTCTGGCTGCTTCCACCTCCACGTAGCTCTGGAAAGCAAACACCTGCAGACTTCTGCCATACACAAGTGTGTCGTGAGTGGGGCTTGTTGGTGACCTCACAGAAAAGGAGCGGGTTGCCATCCCCGCATTGGCAGCTGCAGGAGCAAGCACAAGAAGGACCCGGCAAGCACAGGATGTAGGGTGCCCCGTGCCGGGCAGAGCTAAGTGCTAACTTGCAGGTGTGTGCTCGTTTGAGCTTCACAGCACCGCCACGGGAATGGCGCTATCAGTGTCTTCAGTGGAGTTCTCAGACCTGCTGAACTAAGGGACCCATCTGAGGACACACTCTGGTTGGGAGGCAGAGCAGGATTTGGATCCAGAGCCTTGCAAACGGACTGTGGTCTTGGAATCCAGGGACATGTGAAGCCCTGAGTTTCATCCCCACCACAGGAAAACACAAAGTAGCCAGGTGATTTTAGGCTATGGTACAGCTTGGGGCTAGGGGTTTCTACTGAACGTACATAAGGCCCATCCTCAGCAGAAAAAATAATTAAAAAATAAACGGCATGGTGACGCACTCCTGTGCTCTTCATTATGTAGGCAGATGCAGGGGGATTAGGAGTTTGGGGCTATCCTAGGCTACAGAGGGAGACCCTGACTCCAAACAACAAAAAGGAAGAGAGGGGAGAAGAAGGAAGGGAGGGATGTATGAAGGAAGGTAGAGGGGAAGGAAGGGTGGGAAGAAGGGAGGGAGGGAGGGAGGGAGGGACCACTGAGCATCTAGATAATGCTGTCTGCCCACATCTCTTTATTTTTAACACGTCCTCCATGGCAGGATCAGACCAGGCCCTGCAGAGGACCCCCAGGGGCTCTTGTACTAGAGCACAGTCCCATGCACACACACGGCCTGTGCCAGGGAGGTTTGGGAGGCAGGATAGGGCTGGCAGGCATGTATTATGACCCTGAGCTGCACTCTCCTTGCTGGCACAACCCCATCCCATCCTTACATTCACAGCCAGGCTGCGGAAGTCCTGGCCTGACTCTTGCACCACATATCCAAGGCTGAAGACTGGGCACAGTGGATGCAGGGTCTTGTGGTAGAGGCATTTCTTCATGTAGGTGTTATTCACCTCCTCCACCAGGTTGCGCCTGTGTGGAAGGCATGGGTAGCAGCCATGTGCCAGCTGGGAGGGTTCTCACTCCACTCAGCTCTAAGGACCCTCAAGAATTCTAGAGTATCCCCCTTCCCAAACCGTCAGCCTGCAGGAGGTCTGCCAAGGCTGCTGTCTCCGGAGTGCAAGCAGCTGGGATGGAGGGAGACTGTACTGAGAGCGGCTGCAGCTGCTTCAAGCCACCTGCACCTCTGCCTTCCTTTCCCACGAACCTGTTGACCTTGAAGCGGGGAAAGCTGATGCTGTTCTTGATGAAGAGGGTGAAGTTCTCAGCCTCACGGAGAAGAGCAGGTCTGGGGAAAACAGCACTCACTCAGTGCCCCTCCCCAAGAGTGTTTGCATGGCTGAAAGGGCTTGGCAAATAGTAGGGAACACAGGGGCTCCCCTGTAGCATGCATTGATGTGTGGTGGGGTTGGGGTGGCCACACTCCAGATGGGGCACGGACTTACAGGCCCCTAGATAGGCCTGGATAGGGTGAGGGATGGGATCAGAAATATAAAGAACCCATTCTTGCCAGATACAGATATCTGTGGGTCAGGACCCTATCTCTAGCTCCCTGGAGGGACAGGACATCAGTTACCTTGGGATCTTGTCATCCACCTCCACAGGACACCAGCCAAAGATCTCACAGGTCTTCACTGTGCTATTGAAGGGCACGCATTTGCCTGTGCGAATACCTGTAGCAAGAGAGCAGCCTCTGGGCTCCCACCTCATGGTGGACTTCTGCAGCATGGGAGCCGAGAGCCAGGATGAGAGCAGGATAGACTCTCTCGGTGGGGAACAGTTTGGAGAGATGTGGAGTACAGAGAGGCAGACACAGGCAACGTGGTTGTGGAGGTGACAGAAAGGGGCTGGTCTTACCTTGGGCCTTCCTTTCTGCTTTTCCCGGAGTGCACCCATTGTCCTCCTGGCAAATGCCACCTTCTGGGTTCTGGGGGATGGGAGAAGTGCTGGCCCCAGGCCCTGTGATGTGGTCCTAGGGAGGACCGTCTCCTGCCCCACCCCCAGGACCACAGTGTAGACATGGAGCAAAATCTCAGATTCTGTGACAGACCCTTGCTCCCAGCCTCCTTCTCCCACACTTATCCTAGGTTTCTGTCCAGTTGCTGAGTGCTGGTGTCTGCTGGCAGGGAACTGAAGGTTGGGACGGAGAGGCACAATGCCCAGCAATGGCACTAACAGTGACTGACGGTTATTTTGTGTGACTCTCTGCCCAACATTACATCATAACCTCATCAGAAAGCTCCTCCCACATCACCACCAAGGCCCAAGGGATTCCATCATGTTATCTCCCCTGTGGGTCCAGGAGAGGGGCGGAGTCCTCACCTCTGCACAATAGCCTTGAGCCTGCTGGGGGGTCACGATGAAATTGGTCATAACTACAAAGGAGCTGTCACCCTGGAAGTGAAGGGCAGGGAGATGACAGGCAGAGTTGGTAGAACAGCCCCAAGCATCTAAACACTGCCCTAACAGGGCTCTGGAGCCCACCCGACACCCAGCAGACACCATATCCCATGGCATAACTGTGAAGGGAAAGATCAGTCTCACAGTAAGGGAGACTGAGGTCCGGAGAGCAGGAAGCTGGTCTAGCCCTTCAGGGAGCCTTGAGTCACGGCTTGTAGGAGGGAGGATGGTGCAGGCCTGAGCCAGCTCACCTGGGCTGGGAAGACATAGTCAGCCACGTCCCAGACCTGGGGTCCCAGGCCCTGGAGCTGGGTCACAGCCAGGCCCTTGAGCTTCACAGACACACTGCTGATGAGGCCGCCTGAAGTCTGGTATCCCTTTTCATAGACGAACACCCACCTGTCAGGTCCAGGGAAGACAGGGGAGTTAGGATTCTGTACAGTGTCGGGCAGGACATCCAAGGATACAAGTGGTTGTAAGAGCCTCTATCCTTTCTGGCATCCTCCGGACCACCTCCTGTTCTCAGATATGTTTCTGAGCTTTGGTTCCCAAGTAGTTTCCGTGAGGCAGGACAGCCTTGCCTGTCGCCCCCTGCTGGCCTGGGTCTAAATTACCACCACTACAACTCTGCCATGGAGGCCAATCCATGCAGCTACTGACTGACTGTCCCTCCTAATTCTCTCGCTCCATAGAGCTGTATTTCAGGGCCAACTGGCCAGTTCTTGACCCCAGTGCTCCTTCACAACACCCAATTTCTTCCCACACAACTTCCAGAAAAGTGTGAAGACTGCCCGGGAGTCTGGCTTTCTCTCCCAGCCAGCCCTACTCCTCAGTGCTGTGAGGTTTGGAGTGGGTCCTTCCTCTTCCTTATCTATAAAACGGGAACAATATTAGGGCTTGTTTATGTTAAGCGAGTTCGTGCAGAGAAGTTGCTTAGGCTGTGGGCTGGCGCCTAGCAGAAGCTGTGTAGAATTCATCTGTCATTACTGGGTAGAAAGTGGGAAGGAGAACAGTGCGGATGAGAGAGAAGCCAGGATATGGGGCTAAAGGCCATAACCTTCCCTCCCGCAGCCTCCAGCTCCCTCCCTCAGGCTGCTGTGTAAGTGGCTCAGGTTTAATCCAGGAAGTTCAGTGGGACTCACCTCACTCCCAGGGATGGGCATATGGCCAAGACATGTCAATCAATGTCCTGCCTTTCTAGCAGAAGTAAAGAGTCTAATTGCCATTAAAAGAGTGTCAATAGCAGAACCAGATTCTTTTTTTTCCTGGGATTTACTAGGAAAGAAACTTCCACTGTGCCGGGTGGCTAAGCAAGGAGGCTGTGAGGTCAACACTGCCGTTAGCCATTTTTGCCATCTCTAAGTACCAGCCTGAGGATGGAACCAGGAGATGGAGAGGACCAGATTCCTAACCATGTTGCTGCAGGCCCTTGGGGGAGGGGAAAAAAATTCTGGGCTTTACTAGAACGTGAGCCAATGAAGTCCCTTCCATTGTGAGAACGGATGAAGTCCCTTCCATTGTGAGAACGAGCTTAGGTTTCATACCTGCTGCTTACGCTGAGAGTTTTGTGTCTCACATCTCTCCAGTGGTAGCCTCTCCCTTTAGAAGAAACTGTTGGAGTAGATTCAAGGTGTGTTGCCCACTGGCACATGAACCGCAGCCCTCCCCGGGAAGAAGACCGTAGGTGAATATGCTCTGCTCCCTCCGTCCTCTGCCTTACCTAGACAACGATCACCAAACCTTCTCCTCTGGGGACAAGGTTCTCCAAGCCTTAGGCCCAGAGTCACTGACTTCCCTGTCCTGGGTCACAGGAAAGGAGTCCTGTTGCAACTTTAAGCCTCTCCCCTCCGAAAGCCGGCTTTGGAACGTGTCCCTCTTCCAAGCCAAAGTGTGGTCATTGCTGCCCCCTGCAGCCCACAAAGAGCAACAGGCGACGCATAACAAAGGTTTAAATTCTGAGGCTGCCCGTTGGGAATCGCTCAGGGAGAGGGGTTCCCCATCCCCACGGTCCCTTTCTGCAGTCACACCCCTGTCTTGTACTCCAGCTTAAAGGGGCTATTATGGAAGAGGGGCTTTTTGCTATGGAGGAGAGATTTGTTGCTATGGAGGAGGGATTTGTTGCTATGGAGGAGGGGCTTGTTGCACACTCTGAGCCCTCCCCCAAGAAGCCACCGGTTTCCTTTTCACACCTCCGTCCTCAGAACCTCTATTTCTCTTTGCCCAATAGCAAAAGGTCACTCAATAGGTAGAGAAACTGAAGTCCGTGCACACTCCCCTCCCAAAGGTCAGAAGTCAAACAGGGGTGATCCAGGGCTGGAGGCCTCCCTGCAGACACAGGGTTGTGCAGTGCTGGGTGTGTCTCCCCAGAGTTCCTCTCCTGCCTTAGCTGTGTGTTGGGGTCAATACAATTTCTGGGCTGTGACTGCCCTTGGGGCTTCTGGTCTTGGCAGGTCAAAAGGAAATGTCAAATCTGGTATTTGTGACCTCTGCCCTGGTAATAATAGCTTTGGCATGCTGGCAGCAGGCCTGTCATTCCAAAGCCATGTCTTTTTAAAAAAGATTTTATTTTTAACTGTGTATGTATGTGTTGTGTTGGGGGGAGTTGAACACTTGACTATAGATAGCCATGAAGACCAAGAGAAGGCAATGAATCTTGTGGAGCCAGAATTATAGGCGAGTATGAGCTGCCTGCCTGACCTAGGTGCTGGAACCTGAACTTAGTTCACTACAAGAGTGGTACACACTCTTAACTACTGAGCATCTTCCCCAAAGTCATGTCTTGACCTGGTCTTATGGTTACTACTCTGGGAAGGCCATCAAAGAGGTCTGAGGTCAAAGACACCAGCATCTTCTGAGGCCCCTCCTCTTCCAGGGATGACCCTTACCAGTCTCTTCACCTCCCCTGGGAATCCCTTTCCAGTGGTCCCTGGGAAAGGGACACACAGTGAAGTGGCCATGTTTAAGTACTAGACTTGCCTTTCGCCACATGTATGACTTCAGACTAGAGACTGAACTCTGAGCCCCAACTTCCTCAGTTAAACAGAGGATGTCCAACCTTGAAGGTTCTGCTCGCTCAACTTAACAAGGTTGTGTACTCAAGACACATAAAAATGAAAATCTCTCATCAAATCGTCCCTGTTCCCCTGGGAGGGCAGAGCTCTGGGTGAGCTGTCACAGGTACCCTTGTCCCAAGATCCACCTCCACATCAGTGGTCGGCCTCTACAACCCAGCCCTATACATTTAGTTAGTCACTCAATAACTTGATGCAAACACGTGTGCATCAAGCCCGTCTTTGGAGTCGGCCATTGTTCTCAACACTAAAACTACAGAAGTGAGCAAACCCCAGGAGCCTGCCTTCAAGAAGTCTGAACAGACTGTTGGCCTCTCTGGTTGCTTGGTGTGCTGATTGATATTGTCACCTTGATTGCATCTGGAGTCACCTGGGAGACTCGCCTCAGGACGTGCCCACAGAGAGTTAACCAAGAGGGGAAGTTAACTCAGAATGAGAAGTGCCTTTCAACAGGCCAGAGATAAAGAGGTCAGAGCAAAAGCAGTGTGGTCTGCCTGCTTTCACTTCCTCCTGAGTCTGTGTCTACTGCAGCTGCTGCCACCCTGATGAAGCCTTTGTCAGACCCCAGCTTCTTTGGTTTTCTAATGTGAGCCAAGGACTAGTGGCCCTCCAGGAATCTTCCGGTACCCCAGTACCACATTGGAATCCCTGAGGTATTTAGTTTCATGGACTGGTCAGCTATCAGACTCACATTCTCTTCAGCATGTAGATGGCCATCATTACACTACCTGCCCTGTATCTATGTGTAGTGATTCACCTCCCCTTTTTTGTTGTTTTTTTAGACAGGGTTTCTCTATGTAATGGTCCCAGATGTCCTGGAGCTGACTCTGTAGACCAGGCTGGCCTTAAACTCAGAGCTTCAGCTGCTTCTGCCTCCCGAGTCCTAGGATTAAAGACTTGCACCACCACTGCCCTGCTTAGGGACTCCCCTTCTATGCTACACATACTTCCTGTCAGTGCTGTTCCTGTAGAGGACCCTTCCTAAGTACAAATCTGGGTCCTGAGGATCGGGGCCATTGCTTTGGTGAGCCTGATCATGTAAACCTTGGGTCTTTGGGGAAAGTTTAGAGCTTTGGGCTAGAGAAGCCCTTGAATGTTGTAACCAGAGCTTAATAGGCCATTCTGGTGGGAATTTAGGAGACAAGAAAGCTAAGAAAAATGCAGACAGTGGGGGACCCAGATCAGGAGGTCTCACTGAAACTAAAACTCTTTCAGGAACTGGGCCATCTGAGCCATTCATGTTATATACTGGCAACAAATCTGGCCTCATTCTGCCTCTGTCCTGAGAACTTGAATGAGGTTGAATTCAAAAGTAATAAAGCGAATTGTTTGGAGAGGAAGTTGGGTTTGATGTTTGGGCGGTTCAAGACAAGCTTTTATACATCCCAGCTTGACCTCAAACTCACTATGTTGCCAAGGACAACCTTGAGCTTCTGCCTCCACCTGCTACGTGCTAGGACGCACCTCCTTGTGTATGTGTCTGGGGACCCAAGGCAGGGCATTGTGCATGCAAATGAACTACATCCCCAGCTCTGGCAGAGGACATTTCAAGGGAGGGTTTTATCCCACAGGGGACAGTCACTCTGAATGTGGGCAGTGCAGTGCGGCAAACTGAATATAAAGGAGAAAGCAAGTGGAATCCCGTATTCTCTGCTTCCTGACTGTGGAGACAGGGAGACAGTTACCCCACACTCCTGCTGCCACCGCCAGAGTTGCTGTCACCACCAGGCCATCACCATCATGATAGATGTGTCCTCAAACCACGAGCCAAAACAAACTCTTCTACCTTTACCTGCTTTTGTCACAGCTACAAGAGAGGTGACCAATATATTTGGGGACCCACACCCACCTTCTACACCAGACATCTTGAAGGTATCTCTGATGCCATAAGATTGTCTGAAAAACAGCTCCATAGTTCCGCAAAACTTTGAACATGGGATTTCCCTTGACCTGATCCCACTACTAGATATAAACCTTGAAGAAAAAAAAATGTGTCCACCAAAGTACTGATACACAAACACTCAGGGTAGCAATGCTTCTAAGAGCCAAAAAGTAGAAACAGCCTAAAATGTCCAACCACAGATACTCTAAACAAAACAAAACGTGATGAATCAACACATGAATTATTATTTAATAATAAAAGCATTGGGTTACACATTATAACAAACATGGCAAGTAAAAGAAGACAGATACATGCTGGGAGATGGTAGTGCATGCCTTTAATCGCAGCACTTAGGAGGCAGAAGCAGGTGGATCTCTGTGAGTTCAAAACCAGCCTGGTCTGTGAGAGCTAGTTCCAGGACAATGAGGACTGTTACACAGAGAAATCTTGTCCAGAAAAAACATAAAAAGGAAAAAAAAAAAAGAAACCAGATACAAAAAGGCTCATGGTGTATGGTTCTATTTATAGGAAATACCCAGAATAGGCAAGGCAAGTTGTGAGGAGAAAGGGGGCTGATTGCTAAGGGATACAATATTTCTTTTTAGAGTGATGGAAATGTAATTATAAGTGATAATTATGCAATCTTGTGAATAATAATGACCACAAACTTGTGAGGTTTTTTTGTTGTTGTTGTTTTGAGACAGTATCATCTTGTACTCCAGACTGGCTTGGAACTCACCATGTAGTCCAGGTTAACCTGGAATTCATGAGATGATTGCCCAGACTACTGAGTGCTGGGATTATAGGTAAATACCACCTACCATGCCTGATCCAGTCAGAATTGTGTGTGTGTGTGTGTGTGTGTGTGTGTGTGTGTAGCTCAATGGTAGAGAGTGTTCTTAGCATGCTCAAGGCCTTGGGTCTAATCTCTAGCATCAAATAAATGAAAAACAAGTTAATTAAAAGAGTAGAGATTAAGGTATTTGAAGTAAGTCTCACACAAGTTTCAGTCACCAGTGAAAACATTCAACTGAAGCCAGGCATGGTAGCATACACTTTTAATCCACGCACTTGGGAGGCAGAAGCAAGTGGATGTTTGTGAGTTTGAGGCCAGCCTGGTCTACATAGTGAGTTCCAGAAGAGCCGGGACTATGTAGAGAGACCTTGTCTCAGAAAACAAGCAAATAAAAATAAACAAGCAATTCCTTTTTTTTTTTTTTTTTTTTTTAACTGGGTCTCTCTGTCTCTCTCTTTAGCCAGACTGGCCCACTTGAAATCAACAGAGTTTGTTTCCTGTTTCCCCTCTGCTTTCCAGTAAGAGGTTTAAACCACTCTGTCTCATAAATTGACCCCTCCAATAGGAGCATTTCATCTGTGACTTCACCTTAATCTGGGTCATCAGAGGCTTTGCCTTCTGGAATTTCTTACTTCCCCCTCGCCTCACATTTACAGGGAGAACGTGACCAATAGAGACCACAGCCTAAGCTTCCCTTCTCTAAGCCCATTCCAGACCTTGGCATCTCAGCCTGTCTTTCTGTCTGTCTGTCTGACTGACTTCCTAAGTCTCAAGGCTGCTTTCATCACCTGTCCCTCTCTACCTCCATGCTGCCCATTTCCAACATGGGCACTGTCTGGTGCCCAGAGACTGCATCTCTTGATCGTCTGTCCCCGCCCACCCCCAGCCTCCCATCTTCCCTGCCACACCCACCGGACCAGACAATCAGATAAACATCTGGGAAAAAGGAGGATCCTTAGAGCAAAGCCCTTCCCTTCACAAAGAAGAGCATGCTCCTCTCCAACTGCTGTCCTGTGTTAACAATTGGGAAACTGGGAGTCTTATCTGTCGGGGTCAGTGTAGCATCAGGCAGGAGCCAGATGAGGGCGACAGAGACAGATGAGCCACAGCCTGAGCTAATAAGAGCTCCAGTGGGCAGGGAAGCCTGGGTTTGGGGACCTGAAGACCTTGCCTTGGGCTCTGCTGTATGAATCGGGCATTTTAATGAGACTAGTTACAGCCATCATCTCTGTTACCCTCACCCCTCACACCAACAAGGGATACATTCTCTTGAAAATGATGGATCATCTTGGGCCAGAAGAAAGGAAAGAAGGAGGGGTGAGGTTCCTGTCACTGGAGGTACATATCACAGCTGGGGGGCAGTTGGGACTCATCTTACGGCGGGGCTGGAGTCGGTTGACTGCCCCTGCTATTCTGACCGCCAGGAACTGTTCACAGCTACGGCTCTGAAAACACAGTAGAGAATCCTTGGGCCCTGAGAAGGGATAAACCCTTTTGGTCTCCCTAGGTGAGACTGAGCCTGAGTAGTGACTTCTCTTTCCTGGAGGAAGTAGACATAAGTTAATGGTAGACTTTGAGGCTCCTTTTGTGCTCAACACAGGGCCAGAGGTGCCCATTAGGAAGCACTTTAGAAACCCTGTTGGGGTGGGAAGGGAGAGAGCAGAGCAGAGCCCCAGGGCTAAGGCTGATTTGCCCTGTGACCTGGAAATTCCAGGGCTCCTCTCTGGACCTTAGTTTTCTTCTCAAGCTTGACCAAATTGACTTGTGAGCAAGAAGGGAACAGAACCCGAAAAGCAACAGAAGGGTCCTGGCCTTGGCTACATCTGGCCAGCTCTGAATCTTAGGGGACCAATAGGCAGAATAAAAGCTGTTCTGGGTGCTAGACACTCCCAAGGGGCCAACATTACATGGGTAACTATTCGGGCCCTTAGTCTCAGTCTCCCAAATGGGAATGTACAGAGTCCTCAGAACCACACAGCATAGCCAGGGTGGGGTGCTGGGTGTTGGCAGGCTCTCATCAGAGTCCAGCACTTTTAGTGACCCCAGGGCCTCTAGGGGCTCTTTTCAGCATGACTGTGAGTAAACACGATACCCTATACATGTGATACTTCAGGCACCTGGCGATCTCAGATCCAGGGCAGACAGGGACACAGTCATATGCATGCACATCCAGCAACAGGTGCATAAAGTCATTGGTACATGCCTAGATAGACATATAGGACATGGATAGGATACAGGTGCATCCGCATGACATCATGATATTAACCCATACAACACACATGCACATGCAAGATTTGCTAGGTCTGTTAGCTTCCAAGACAACCAGCCTGAACTTTAAAATATGGCCTTTGCATGGTTCCCAGGCTCACCAGTTGGCTGACCCCGTGCCCAGGAAGGAGATGTCACACTTGAGAACGGAGGCTACCTCCTGCTTCAAGCCTCCATCTAGTTGCTGAGTGTTCAGAATCCAAGGGTCTTTCAGGCCCCAGATTCCTGGATATCCCAGCCTGTCCCTCATTCAGACTGGAGAGATGGGAGCAGAGCCTATCTTCTGGCTAATAAAATAGGTGTTGCCTTGTCTCACTAGCTGCATGTGGGAAGCTGGAGGTGAAAGGGGCTCATGCAGTACGCACCACTCGCTCACTGACTGGAAAGGACCCTTCCCAATGTCAGTTCCTCAGGACCCACAATGGCATCGCCTCTTGTTCGCCATACACCCAGAGCAGTGTGTCCCACCCGCCTCAGTGTCTCCGTCTTGACAGTAGGTTAAAGGGCCTATTCTTTCCTAATAGCATGGAGGCTCATCAGGAGGGCTTTCCAGTGCATAGAGAGACAAGGGGTTAGTCAGTACCCCAGAGCTCAGAGGATCGGCACATGTAGAGGACTGGAGCCCAAAGAGGGTGAGGAGGGCACTTAGACTCACCCAATGACGTAGACCAGAACCACCAACTGGATCAGACGGAAAATGACTCCCACCTTCTTGTTTCGCACCAGCACCATCCGGGGAGTGTCATACTCAAAGAAGAAGGCTGACAGCTCATCCTGCAGCCGCCGTGCCATGGTGGGCCAGGAGGGGCCCACACGGCCTCTGTGGTCAAGGGCAGGCCAGCATTTGTCTCCACAGCTATAGCAGTGGAGTGATTGGAGACTTCTCAGTCCCTTAAGAACAGAGCAGGGCAGGTGGGGCCGGAGGCCAGAAGGCAGGGGTTAGTTGGTGGGTCTGGGTGGGGAGGGAAAACCCTGGGTGATCAGAACAGCTTTTGGTTGCTGGCAGGCAGTGGAGTACTGGCCAGTGGTGCCCGTGAAATAAATTCCCAAAGATAGACAGAGGCGGAGCCAGTGGGGCCACCCAGACCCAGCCCCACTGCCCCTCTAGGCTCCGCCTGGGCCCCCTCTGAGCCTCCGGAAACAGGAGCTGCTGGCCGGAAACCACCATGGCTACCAGTCACAGGAGAGAGATAAAGCCACAGGCTGCCCCCACTTTGAGAACTTGACAGGACAGAACTGGGGGGTCTGGCTAGGACCTGGCTAGGACCTGACCAGGACCTCAGAGCCCCACCTCCATTCTCACAGCTATAGTCAGAGTAGGCAGCTCAGTCCTAGGGACCTGTAGGGAGATGGGCAGAAGTCGATATCAGGTCCTGTAGCCTAGAACAGCCCTTGGATGCCCATGTCCACCAGTCCCTTCAAATCCAAGCCTGGTTTATATCCCTTAACTTCAGCGTCAGGCTGGCTTCTCCATCTTCAGCCTTTCCCTTGACCTGCTTGACTGTACCTCCTGATACCACTCCCAACCCATCCCTGCCACCAGAAGAGGCGTGGAGGTAGCTATCTAGATAAGACTAGGCTCACGTATCTCTATGGAGTATTAAGACCCAGCTGGGAAAGCCTAATATTAGGCAGCTTTGCTACTTGTTGAGGCCTTGGGGACAATGTAACACTTTCCTCACAGAGTGAAGTCCTTAGGGATGGGTCCCAGCAACCCCAGAGACAGAATTTGAAACCACGGTTGAGTTAGGGTTGCAGGTCCATCCAGTGCAACCCTCGCCTTCCTCAACAGTAACCCAGACCCTGAGCATAGGGGTCCCAATACCCAGACCTGAGGCTAGCTCACATTATATCCCTAGGGTCAGAGTGGAGCAATCTCACTCTGGGTCTACAAAAGAACCTCTTGAAACATGGACCTCCTTGGTAACCTTCACTCGCCTCCACCCCAGGCCAAGCTGACCCACCCTAAGTACTGATAAACAATCTTCTTCCTCAGAAGCTACTTGCAGGAAGCAAACAGCCCTCTGAGCAGGGCCCCAAGCCCCTGTGCAAGCAGGACTGCTTTCTGGATGTCCTGTCCCAGCACCCAGGGCCAATCCCTCATTCTTGAATAGAATACATACACACACACACACACACACACACACACACACACACACCATTGACATTCCAGTAGGAACTCTTACAACTGTCTGACGCCACTGTCAGGGTGGTAAGAACCACTTTCTTCATTTTTTTTTGTTTTGTTTTGGTTTGGTTCGGTTCTTTTGTTTTTTGTTTTTCCTAAGGAGCCAGAGCCACAGCAGGCTCCTTGGCCTTGTCTTAACCCCAAACAAAAGGGCCTGCCCCTCTCCCAGTTGATTTCATATCCAACTGTTAGAAGAAGAGCCCCAGGAGAGGGGCCACTTGTGATAGCAGTGGGTAGGTGCTGAAACTGAGCCACACCTGCACCCTTCTCCGTGGCACTCACACCATATTCTAGAGAGGGACCAGCTCCAAATGAGGGAGAAGAGAAAGGATGGATAGAAGACAGGAAGAGGAAGGAAGTCATTGTCCCGCAGCCATTGGCTGCTTCATGCCACCGCCACCTTCTCCCTCCTCATCTTCCTCACCTCAGTTCTTTCTCCCTTCTCTCTCTCCTTCTCCTCTTTCTCCCCATTCTCCTTTTTCTTCCTCTTCTTCTTCCACTTCCTTTTCTTCCTCTCCCTTCTCACCCCATGCCCATTATAGCTTGTTGGATAGACTGTTGGGACTGTATCTGCTACAGCCTGGGCATGAGCCCTGGCTCTCTGGAAATATGACAGAGAGGACCATTTGAAGGTACTGGAAGACCCAAGGTGGGGGTCAATGACACAACTTACTTTTTTCTTTTTTACTTTTCTTTTTCAAAAATGTTTTTGGAAAGTGTTTCTCTATGCAACAGCTCTGGCTGTCCTGGAACTTGCATTGTAGACCAGGCTGGCCTCGAACTCACAAACATCTGCCTGCCTCTGCCTCCTGAGTGCTGGGATTAAAGTTGTAAGCCACCACGGCCCAGTATAACCTTTTTTTCTTGATAATAACCCTGCAAAAGTGAACTAACCACATAAGACTATAGGGAGGGCTCAGGAGTGCAAGCATGAAGACCCGAGTTTGAATCCCACCACTTGTGGGGGCTCAGCAGCTGCATCTGTAATCCCAGGGCTGGGCAGGTGGAGACAGGCAGACCCCTAGCCCTAGAGCTCACTGGCCAGCCCAAAGCTCAATCTGTGTACTCTAGGTTCAATGAAATAAAATAAGATGGAGAGCCACCGAGGAAGACATTTGATGTTGACCTGCGGCCTCCACATGAATACACACACATCTACACACACACACACACACACATGCACACACGGCAAATGTCTCTTGTTCTGGCTCACCCTTAGGGTACAAACACCTGTGGCTCTAGCCTTTGTAGGCACAGGTAGATAGAACAGATGTCAGAATGCCACCCAATAGAGTTTACCAGCCTTTTCTTCACCATGGCCCTGTAAAGCAGATAGTAGAATGCCCATTATACAGATGCAGAATCCAAGGTGCTGGAAGTTGAACACCTGGTCAAAGGTCATGGAACAAGTAGTTCTTGAGTTTGCTTGTGGCTGGAAGAGAGGCTCCCCAAAGTCTAAAGGCTTGGCCCAGGTCCCACCCAAAGACTCCAGCACTTAAGATCTGCCAGTCCTGCCTTATAAGCCAAAAGGATGTGTGGCCAGCTCTGGTTCTGGGCCGGGCCTTCTAGGGAGACATGGCCCTGCTGCCAAGGACTCGGCCCCAGGACAACCTCCCCTGCTTGGCTAAATTTAGCACTCTGTGGGTATGGAGGGGGCCAGTGCCCATCCTGGAGTCACTGCCCAAGCCTGGAGGGCAGCCTGAGTCCTCAACAGGGTGGGTGGCATCGATTCCAACTTGTCTCCTTAGACACTCAGGGTACCAAAGTCTTATCCCTGGCAATCTGACTCTCACACTGTATGGGCCTGCCCTGGTGTCCTCAGAGAGTCACCCCAACATCCAACAGCCCCTCCAATGCTATTGGAACAGAGCTCTTGACCTAGCAGTCAAGGGGAAGTCTATGGTGAAGGTTGGGTATCAGCCATGGCCCCAAGGGCTGGCTTTACCTCACTGTCTAAATTTTTCAGACCTCTTCCCTCCCACTGTGGACCATGACCAGGCTGACTTCTGTCCTTCAGTGTCCAAGGCATCACGGTCTGCTAGTCTACTACTTTTTGGGTCTTTCCCCTCAGACCTCTTCTGTCCGGTAGTAAGGGGCTTCTGGCTGATGTAGGTCTCTCTCTTCAACAATAAGCATTCATTCAAGAGGCTTGTTTTTTTTTTTTTGACAGTTCTCAAGGCTGTGACACAGACAGCCATAGGTAGCACAAGTCCACTTATCTCTGTTTATTACTTATTTATCTAAGCTATAAATAAACATTTATTATATCTTCTTATTCTTATTTATTTAAGATATAGTTTTTATACATCTCAGACTGACCTCGAACTTGCCATGCAATGGGAATGACTTTGAACTTTGGGTCCTCCTGCCTCCACTTCCCAAGTGCTGCAATTCTGGACAAGTACCACTAAGCCCAGTTTATGTGGAGATGGAGATCACAAACCCAGGGTGTTGTGCTTGCCAGGCAAGCATTCTACCAGCCAAGCTACACCTCTGGCTTCTTTTTCTTTCCTTCCTTCCTTCCTTCCTTCTTTCCTTCCTTCCTTCCTTCCTTCCTTCCTTTCTTTCTTTTTTTTAAATAAAACCAAGTTGAGGTGAAATTCACTTTTTTTCCCCACTTTTGACAGTTTGATGAGTCCTGACAAATACATGTAGTTACTTTCTGACCCATCATTCTAGAAGGGTGCCTCCTGATTCCCCCCACTTCGGTTTTTTGAGAGGGTTTCTCTGTGTTGCCCTGACTGTCCTGGAATTCGCCCTGCAGACCAGGCTGACCTGAAACTCAAAGATCTGCCTGCTCTGCCTCCTCAGTGCTGGGACTAACAGTGTGCACCACTGGCTCCTCCTTGCCCTTTGCAGTCTCTTTCCCCAGGACCTATATCCAGCAGTCACTGATCTGCGGTCGTTTAGATTTGTCTGCCTTCTGTGGAAGTCCATGGAGGTGCTAGCACATAGGGTGAGCTTTTAGTATCTTGTCTCTTTCATCTGACACAAAAATTATTTCTTTATTTATCTGAGACAGGATTTCACTTTGTAGTCCAGGCTGACCCAGACCTTGTTGCGATGCCCCAGACTCTCTAGTGCTGAGATTTTTAGAAGGGCACCACCATGGCTGACTTATCACAATGGCTTTAAGCTATCTATGTGGTTCTATATGTGTGTGGTCACATATGCTTTTGCTGCTGAAGATTTTCTGTCACGCAGACATATCATGGATGATTTGTCCATCTATAGAGAGATTCCTTAGTTCTGTAGCACCCAGCCTTTTGGGCTCAGGTTTCTGGATGTCCACATTCCCTTCCCTACTCTGTCTTTCATTTTCCTCTTCCACATCACCTAGCATAGCTCCATCCTGCTCCCTCCCCTCATAGAGGGGCCTGGAGAGCACAAAGTCCTGGTTCCCAGAAGCAAGGGGACCCAGGGGCATCTTGGCAGCTGCCACCTTGGAGCCAGAGAGGAGTATGCTGGGATTGCCTGGGAATTCCCTCCTGGGTGAGGTGAGGAAACCTCTCTGTTTAGCTTGGCTGCCCAGCCTTGAGTTGTAGACTCCATGCTGTGTGCTGGACAGAGATGGATTTGGGTAAGCCCTGGTGGGGGTAGAGGCCACCATGCCCCAGGGACTGTGGGGGACGCTGGAGTCACACATCTCTTCTGTGAGTTCTCTTAGGGTTTAGGTTAGCTCATTCCCACACCCAGAAAGACAGACCCTCCAATGGGTTCCTCATCTGTTAGCTGGAGCCCCTGCCCTCAGCCTCTCCATGGCAAGGGGCTTGTTTAAGACCCTAGAGGAGGAGTGGTGGGTTTTATATTTGAGAGGCCTTACAGATGTCTGTGTGGCTAAGAATACTTCTAGCCATTGTGCTGGAAAGAGAAACCCTTGTGAGTTCCTCAGGGTGTGAGCTGTCTCCTCTGTCACAACTAGCTTCACGGATATGA